AATAATTGTTAGATGGAGCTCTAGATAGGAGGAACTTAGATCACATAAAAAAGGTTGCAAGTGCAGTGCAAATGAAGTGTTTAACTGCCTTAAACAGATGATTATTTAATTATATTTGTTATTATGAATGTATGAGACAGAATCCAAACTTTTTCTCCAGATTATATTTTATTGTGAGGCGAACACTATGTACGGAGCATAAATATCTTTATTTTTATGTTCTAAAGATGTGATGAAAGCAAATTTTACATTCAGGACATTCAATGATTCAGAAATAAAAATCCCATGAAGGAATGTCCTTAACTGCAACACAGAAGTCTTTATGAATTGGGACCTTTTGTCGTTCATACATTCAGCTTTTCTCTTCTCTCTCAATGTAACTAAAATAAACCCATTTATAGTTTTCACAAAAAAGTGAGATTGCTGTTCTGCTCCTCCACTGAAAGATGTCTGACAGTTTCCAGAAACCAAAAGCTGAACATCGTACTGATATCACCTTGTTTCGATCAGTTAACAGCTAACTGAGCTCAAGCATTTTCGAAAACGAGCTGTATTTAAACGCCTCACGAACGAATGGGCGACCGTAATATATGGTGAAGAAGCGCAAACCTTTTATATGACTTGACGGCGGATTTTAATCAATCATAATGAAAATAACAGGATGCTGCGTTCACGTAACCTCGTTATTGGAGCTCTGAATAAAATGATTAATAATATATTTGATTAAACATGTATTATGGAGTGTTCTTATGTGGATATAATACAGTTTTAACAAGTAGTGTCATGTAACTAAGCAGTGGCACACCACGTGTGTGCAGGTCACACACACACACTTATTGTATCACTATAGTTTTGAGGACTTTCCATTGACTTCCACTGATTTCCATGGCCTAGCCCTAACCATTACCATATATCTCTAACCCTAACCTAAATTCAATTCACACCTCAGTCCTTAATGTGACTCCTGAACCAAAAATAGCAATCCCCCTCATGGAGTCCAGGCATCAGGCCCCACAAGGAGCAGAAAATGGGCCCCATAATGTATCAAAAACTGAATTACTGACCTAAAGTTATTTCACACCATACCTCTAAACTGTCTCTCTAAGGGTTCTTCCACATTAGGACCAGCCTTTGGTCTCCATAAGATCTGTTGGTCCCCAGAAGGTGATAAAATATACCTAAAACAGTTCTAAATAGGTAATATAGGTGATGTGTCAAATATAAAATATATAAAAGAGCAAAATCTTTATGTAAATATTTTCCTGAATTTCTTTCTAATGTCATTTCAGTTTGTTTGATTTACAACAACTATAACGTAACATTAAAAGTAATACAACAAAATGGCACCAAATATTTTAAAACACACATAAAATCATATCACCATGCGATAATAAAACAAGTCAATAAAAATCCTTCTGATATTTTGAAAATAAAAGCCTAAAAATATTTTTGAGGGGATAAACAAAAATGTGGTTAAAGACATTCTCCAGCTGTTTGCTGTTGCAGGACTGATGATCACCACCAGGGGGCAGTCTCTGCTAACCTTTCTCTCAGGAGGACACAGCCTGTAAACATTAAACAATAAACATGTCAGCATCACCTTCATCTTCATTTTCCTACATAATAAACAGGTATTTTTTCAGTCCTGCTATCAGTGTCCAGTTGGTGGCGCTCTGACTCTTTATTGTGTTTAATCCTGTTTGTTTTCTTTCTGACATTTAAAATGCATCACAGACCAACGAGTTTCAGAACAGATTAAATATTAAATATTCCTTTTATTTTGAGTTGTATTTCCTCTAAAGTTCATGTATCATAATAAATCTCTGAGAAGCAGAAGTCAGATCTTGTTTTTGTCACAATCTTGTTCCTAAAAGATGCTTTTGGTTCTGATTCTGGTTCTAGAATAGAATAGAATAGAATAGAAAATCCCTTTATTTTCTCAAAATGGGGAAATTCCGGTGTTTTCAGCAGCAAAAAGGTTATAGAAAAAAATGGCCACACAAATGTGGACCTTAGAAAATGTATGAGAATAACATAATAGTGAAGAGTTAAAAGAATAAACAAATTAAATACTGCACTGTAAAGCGTTTTAACAATATAAAACGGGAGAATAACTAACCAATATACAGCTATGGACATTTTTACAGTGATGGATATTTGAAAATAGCAGCAACATCAGAGATGAGCAGAATTACTTTAGTTTCACTCATTCAATCAGTTAGACCAGAATTAGATTCATATTAAAATGAAAATGTAATCTTGTTCAGATCAGTCGTCTTAGATCCTTTTATTCAGTTGATCGGAAAATCTTTGAACGTTCCTGTTGAGGTTTCGGTGACACACAGCTTTAAACTGGATTTTGATTCAGTTTATTTTAAGCATCTTTATATCTGGACTTTGTTTCCAAGTTTGAAGATGTTTTGCTTCTGATTTAGGAACATTTTTCAATTTAAAACTGAATTTTTTTAATTGAAAAATGGAAGCAAAACATCTTCAAACTTGGAAACAAAGTCCAGTGGATTGTTTTGGTTTTTTTTTTACTTTTTTGGAATCTTCTCCTCCAGTGGAGGACTTCACATTGTGCCATCACCATAAACCTGTTTTAATCTGTTATTAATTTGGGTGTTTTAAACAAGTTT